GTCCAATCGTGGGCTCCTCGCAGAATCAACGGGATGTATCGGTTAGAAAATATGGTAGCACGGTATAACAAAACATCAGAAGAAATGAGCTTTAAAAAGAAGGAGGTAGGCTAGTTAGTCAGCAGAGAGAGATGAGTACGCCTACGAAGCCACCACAAGGGATTTATTGCCTCTGCGTGCGAGGAATGATCGCAATGATAATTAGCGAACTCCTTTTAATTCTATCAAATAGCCCCCTTTTACTCACGCAGACTGGAAAAAGAAAACAGGCAGAGGTGAGGGGCTTGGGATGAAGAAGGCCTTGTCCCCGAAAAGGACCAAGAGAAGAAAGCCAGCTGTTGCTGAGCACCCTTCAACCACTCGACCAATTAGGTCTGGTTCATGAGGAACTCTTTCTCTGAATGTTACTCCTGTCTTTTCTCTCTAGACTCTCCCTGCTTTTCCCTTTCCCTCTGGTGAGCCGCCAAAACCGATGCTTGTATTCGGGTATTTTCGCGCTTCCTCGCTCCCGGTCAGGGCCCCACGCGTCTAGGCCCTGAAATGGAGTACTTTAGAAATCGGTCTACTAAGATGACCAACGTTTGGTACATTTACCTAAATAGGTACGAACGTGAAGTCTCTAAAATGATTTTCCTAACATTAGTTTATAACAATACTAATCGACAAGTAGATACAGTAAAACTTAACAAGTCTTAAAAAATCTTTTATTTAAAATAAAAAAGGATTTAAAAATCAAAGTTTTTATCAGTTAATTTTATAACGAAAACAGGTTAAATCCTAACATTTATTATGAGCAATTCATATACATTTCTGCATAGTTTTTCTACATCCTTGATATTGTGCCTCTTCAAATGCTTGTTGTTCTCTATGATGCATATTTAGTGTATATATTTCGATCTTAACTGGCTTTTACTTTCTACATATCAGCGCCACTCTTATTTGACTTTTTAGGAGAAAAAATTTTTAAGTTTATGGTATAATTGAATTCTTAAGATCATGACTTATATTGTATCTAAGAGGAGTTTGGCAACATGTGGACTATATTATAGGCACCATACATGTTCATGGTCAGTTTATCTTAGCACCTACATGGTATCATATTACTGTACTTATAAATATTTGTGTATAGAAATTGAATATTTTACTTTTATTAAATTTTCACTTAATTTAATTTTGTTATTTTTATAGACGTTTAATCCCAAAGAGGACGTTAGCAAGACAGTGAAATATTTATTGATGTATATTAATGATTATTAAATAGTCCTGCTCCAAACTACCAAGCTTGATTCTTCATATAATTTGATGCTGAAGGAGCAAGTAAAAGGATTCTATGGATATGCATGAACTATTAAATAAATTTGAGGCCAACAATTAAGGAATCCAGGTTTTTTTCTAACTTTTCATAGATTAATGAAAAAGCAATAAATGACTTAGGTTACAAGCACGACAAACCAATAAGCAACATAAAATTTAATTACTTAGCAAGCCCATGCGCTGACTGGCACGTTAAAGAAATACCATAATAAAATTACTGTAAAATAAATTGAGTAATAATTACCACGTAACTTAAACCTGCTACTGGCTATTGTACTAATTAACAAAATAACATTAAGTTATGTAAGCACTTAGCATCAAGAAACTCGAGGCAATGACAGGCCACTTTTTTAGTTCATAAAAAAAATGAAGTATCGTAACAGCCTACCTCTACGTCAGCCAAAGCACTTACCGGCTACTTAATGTATTAATTAACTAACAATATAAAGCGTATGCATAAATTACAAGGTGGCCTAGACACTACTAGACATTTTATAAATTAAAAAAAAACGAAAAAATATCATGTTCTTATAGATAAGACTCATTTTTGGGGTATTGAATTGACCAAAAGGACCAAACAGTGACAAGGACACTGAACTAGAGTACCTGGGCATGATGTGATAGTTGTCTTCTCTGAAATCTTAGCTATCAGTAAAGTTAGTGGGCAACTTTCATATACATGCTTTCATGCCACTACAAACCTTTTTATACGTCTATTTTTCTATACATATGCTTAGTGAATGTCACTATATCTGTTTATAATAAGCCACGTATCGCAAAAAGTATAGTCTGAAAAAAATCAATATCAATTACCAGACAAAAATTTCTATTATTAGCCAGGAGGTCACTCTATTCCTTTATTTATTAAATAACAACATTTTCTGTTCAATATGAATAATTTCCCTCAATTCTTCCTACCTGGATGATCAATTTTCAGCCATAAGCAATCATCAATCGCAGACTTATATTTTACTACTGTGCTAGATATACTGTGCTTTGAATGTACTAGGCAGTACACCTTATTTATTGCGCATTTCATACTTTTGTACATGCTCTCCAAGAGCCAGGAGATAACAAAACACAGTATTCGTCGTTACATATACGTGTTTGTACTTTTTGTTATTTTGGTATATTCAGCAACTACATTAAGATCACGTTGGATTATATGTCCTGAAAAAAGAAAAAAAATCCTTATTGAGATCTTCACGATACATCATTTTCCAACCTAGGATTTGAATAGTTCATGCTTAAATATACACGGATCCGTACTGAAATATAAGCAATGGGAGGTAACCGTACATAACTATAGGACACTATTAAGATGAGCCCTACCGATGGCTAGAAAGAGCTAATATAAAATTACTTGATGGTATCAACTCAACATTCAGCTATTATCTTAAAGCTCTATTTTTTTATGATTCCGTAAAATTTATACTTATGATTGACAATTTTAAATATTTATTATCTTTAATTTAATTACCACAAAGACTTATAAGACGTAAATAAAATTTAAAAAAAATTAAGCTGTGAATATACTCCACATACGACATATGACTGTAATGAAAACACATGAAGCTTTCATAGTTTAATAACGTCTTGATATTTATTTAAAAAATTTTAAGGAGTTATAACTTAATTGTCTTACAAATCTCACTAAAATATGAAGTAAAAAACGTTACCTTTGAACAAACATTTTTTTTTGATATGTTAATTTACTGAGAGACTATTTTATAGGTTGTAGAACAAACTCACGTTGAAGTGAATGATAAGATTGAATAATAAAAAATACAGTTTTAAATAATAGGAAACGATATAGCCAACGATAAACAGCTGTTTGCACACACGGAAACATGTTTTGACGGGCAGATAAGATCTAGCCTGCGTGCTTTATCAGAGCGCTAGGCATCCATAAAACTGTAGGTGGGCGATATACTTAGAATGTTTCAGGATTTAGGCTATCTCTCCATGATACTGCTGTGTAATCTAATTGTTTCTTGATGCAGTAAGGTTCTTATATCATAGTTGGCATGAAGTGGCACATAATTATGATTTTTTTACAAAAACACAAACAGAGCTAATGCTGTGATAGTATGACAGATTTCTTGGAACGTCAAACTATTTCCTTTTGAAGGTAAAGCTGCCTAAAGATGTAGAGTTGTAATCACTCTTACACGTGTTTGAGACGTTAAACTAAAGCTAAGCGATAAAAAACATGCCCTAAAGATGTAAGGTAGAGGGGGGTATGCGTGGCACTCTAACTTTAATTAACCTTTATATCTAAATGCGGCCCATTACGGCAGAAAAAAAATAAAAACAACTAGATACTTCCTTGAAAAAACTAGATTACTTAATAAAAATATTATATTACATTATAATACTGATTAAAAAATACCGTTAGTAATGCACTTAAAAGTGCCACGCATGCCTTACTACGGGGCAGGGTATAGCACTCAGGAGGGCCGACGTAGCACGGTCATAGCCAAGCCAAATTAATGCTACTAAGTACTTACTTGTAGGTGCACTAACTAGAATTAAATCATATAACTTAAGAGAAAGAACTTAAATTTTTTTATTGATCAGTAGTGGCCAATTATAGTTAAGTTTCTATTTATATTTTGTAACGTAAATCAAAAATATAATATTTAAGCAATTTTACAAACATATTATTTATGATCACAATAGTTTAATACTTTTGATTCACATTTGATTTGAAAAAAACGTATAGGCTACTAAAATAACCGTATAACTGTTAGCCTAGAGAATATAAATTAAGTTTATTTGATTAACATCAACATTAAGCTAAGCTTTTTAGTTTTTTTCACATCATTTTCAACCATTTTTTTAGAATACTAGGATGGATTTGGACCAAGTATAAGATGGATTTGTTACAGAGGATCATTTTTAACTTGGTCAAACAATTGATTAATGTTATTCAAGTTTACCTTCTTTCTAAATAATAAACATTTTTTTAAATACAAAATGCAGGTATACATGTACGAATAAGCACGGTTCAAGTAGTTACTTAGAAAGTGATTATGTGTCGTTCTTCGTTAATCAACTATTTTTTTCCTTATGTTAAGATATACGTAATTTAGTAATGAGCTCCGTAGCCAAGTATATTAAAAGATCCTGTAGTTGTAGCTTTGTAAGTACTTCTTTTCTGCACAATATTTGGTGTGATTACAATTAACAGTATATACTTTTAAAATAATTTAGGCATGTACAATATACTAAGTAATGTAATGTAATGCTAAGTCAGAGATAAACCAAAAACTATTACTCTACCTTTATAGTTAAATTTACTAACTTTTATACCAGTTATTTGAATAGAATAAAGTAACAACTGTGTATAAGCACTTGCATAAAATGACAATCATTGTACCTGTTATAAGACATTAGGCTTGCCTTTTGTGACTGCAAGTTGCTAAGTGATTAGCACACACTGTGTTTGTACCGATCACCAATAGTGTGATACGAATGGGAGACATGTTTTATCTATTCGTAGCTAGAAGTACATTTTTGTAATAAATTTATTTTTCTGATCACCATGTGACAATTATACACTTATTTTATATTAAAGGCATAAATTACTGAATAAATTTGAAAAAAAAAATTATTGCTTTCTCAAACTTTGGTAACATTAGTGATAGTCATTTGGAAAAATTTAAATAACTTCGGCTACTTACGCAATGATTCTTCACTCTTCATATTTTCTCTCCAAAATACTGAATTTGAAATTAAGGATTTTATTTTGAGTCCTTCTTCAATATCCGAAAAATTTCTGTGTTTGTTCTTAGTATTCTTAGAATTCATTAATGCTAACCCTGCAGTATAATTTAGTTGGTGGTATTGACTTGGGCTGATAACAATAGCACAACTTAAGCAATTTGCTGAGTTTAATGAATTACCAACTGATGGTATAAGTGAGCTGATGCTATAAAGATGTCGTTGTGATGGTTTTTTTGATAAAATTCCAATAAAATATCTGAAAATGTCGTAGAAAGTTGGCTCCTTATTAACAGGATAGAAAAATGATTTCTAAAAAAATATTTCTTATTTTAACCGATGAATTCAGAGTTCTTTAATCACTTTATGCTTAGAGAAACGAATTTTCGGACACAATTCATTGACATGGTGTGATAAAAGCATGTAAACTAACAGGTCTTCATCTTACGGGAAACTAGCAAAAAAAACAATGTACAATGATAAATGGTTTTTGATGTGACTTTAATTTTATTTCATTAAGATACGTCACTTAACTGCTAGACCACTAAGTTACTGTAAAAACTAGAAATCAAGTTGAAGAGCAGAGATTACTTTAAATACAAAAAACATAAAAAAAGGCCAACATATTTACAAGTTAACCACAAGTACGTTGATTAATTCCTAATTGTGTTTCAGAAACAGAAGATCTGTACGTTATGGTAGATATAATAACTTTTTCTAGTTTTTATTGTACTTCAGGAAAACATAGTTGTCAATCTCGGAAGCCTTCGCATTTGATACTTAATACATAAAAGAATTCCATGAAAAATATGCTAACGGTCTTGAATTATCAGCTCAACTACTTTAATATTTCAGCATCACGTAAAGATAAATTATCAACATATTATTGAAGCTTAATTCAAATTAAATCAATTTTGTTGATGACTTTTTAGGATACACAATTGAACCGGATTCAGTACATCGTATTTGCTATCAGAGTTGACAATAGACTCATCGGTAAAGCGCATACACTAGCTCCTGCCTTAAGACCCATGTTGGCGTGCTCTGGTTTGTCTAGTAATTTTGTACACATTAACCAGTACTAATTCTGTCTACTTGTGGGAACACTCCATAGTGCATGTCTGATACCTACTAAATAGAAAAGGATGGGTAACTTGGGGTAGAAGACCAAATGATTGGTCCTATTTTTGTTATTGAAGAACGGAACTATAAATATAAAAAAAACTTACCAATAAATTATGAATACACATAGACTATTTATTTCTTTTGAAATTATCATATGAACGAGCCTACAAAATGTTTATAGTGTAAATCAGCTTTGAATTTAATCTATGGAATACATAAAGTGAGGCAAATTTGAGAAATAGACAAAGCCTCAGAGACTGTCATGTTACTTACTTTTTATTATTCGCTTTAATTCAAGTACATGATTTTTTCAAATAGCGAAAAAATAATTTTTTTTCGGTAAGCCTTATGTATATTTTAATTTATCGTCTTTAATGCTAAAGTATTGCTTGACCCAAAATTAGTGAAAAAGTTGCTATTATATTGATTGCAAAGCCTATGTATTCTCAAAATGCACCAACTAAGCTTTCTTTAAATTTAGCTTCAGTTAAAAAAATGTTTTTGACCTAAAGTTGTCTGCAACCCAAATAATTTCTCTATAGTATGCAAATCAATGTGGTCCTCAAAATACAAAGTGCTGCCAACAGTGTTATGTAAGCTGTAGGCTTACTTACTGAGTTATAGAGTTTTTCGAATAAATAAATCAGATACAGGAGCCCTTACATGCCACTATACTGCCAGTAGGTTCTGCCCTTGCACACAGCGTAAACTATAGCATTGGCATTTAATGTCTAGCCCTGAAGGTGTTAATCGCTTACTCTTGACATAAGAGAAGAACTAAAAAAAGAGAAAAACTACATACTTGTTTAAAATATTTTTTGTTTAGTTATTTAATTCTGTTTAATATATTAATTCAACCTGTCTCAGTTATGTTGTTATATAAATTAGATAAAAGACTTCTGTACTATACGTAAAAAAATTTGTTCAGTCAACCTTGTAATAAGAATTTTAACTAATAAATTTATAGAAAATAAAAGTATAGGCAGACTAGAAGGTTTAACTACTCAAAAATAATAAATTTATAGAAAATAAAATGAAACAAAAGGAAGTTAATATTAAATTACATTTGTGTAGGGTTCTGATGTTCTTAAGTAAACACTTTTTACAGAAATAAATACTGGTTAAAGACACTTTCTCCCAATTTCTACTTCGATTAAAAATATTTTAAGCAATACATATTATATGTTTAAACTTATGTTTTAAAAAGTTATTTGATGAACTTAAGTATTGTTAGTATTGGTCGGAAAAAATTTCCTGGTGAATATTAGATACAAACAATAAAGTATTGAAGAAAAAAAAGTAATAAGGAAAATTATTAAAATAATCAACAGCATTCTGATAATGAAGAATTAACATCAATCAAATTAAATGTTAAAGCAATTTTAAGAGGTTTATAACGTTGGATAATCATATTGAGATGAGTTACTAGCGGAATAAAATTCTGGACTACGTCTAAGAACAAAATTTGCTGAATTAAAATGTACAACATTGGTTAAGTTGTTGATACATTGAAAACTTCTTTTGTTTCAAGAATCGTTAAGTGTTTAAAACTTCTTTATATTCTTATTAACAGGGATAAGTGTACGATTGTTTGTATTTAGTTTTACATCTCATTTTATTATGCAATAAATTTAGGTGTAAAAACTTGTTGCCTCATTTTTGTTAAGGTGACAAACATTTATAACAGAAGTCTTATTTAAAAAATAGTTTAGTACAACTACGCATTGTATTTGGCATGACAACAATTTTATACTAACTTTACTTAAGTGCGTTTTAAGACATAAATGTGTATATTTAGGTTCAACGTTAAATAATTTACTTTTCGTATGAAAAGTATGATACTGTGGCCTTTTTGATAAACTTAGATGGAGTGTTTTTCATACCAGACAGTTAGTTCTATGACAGTACGAAATTTTAAAGAAAAAAGTGTACGGAAACCAAGTTTAGTTCTTGAAGAACCACTTGAAATGTAAAAAGAACAATCGAACTGTCTTATAGTGTGTTTGGTTGAACCTTGTTGGTAAAAAATTAAAATGAATTGCGAAGTTATATTTTTACGTCTTGTAACTTAAGTAAGCAATTTCCGATAAAACGGTGAAAATGTGTAACTGCCATTGTTGGAACACTGTTTCTTCTTTATAATAGAGCTACTTAGTTCTTTCAAATTATTCTCTTCGATACGATGGACATAATAAGTCCGTTCTCATTCTTCAAAATACATAAATTTGTAATAGTTGGCAATAAACACTGTGGTCTGTGATAATAATTTTGCCACACATTGATAAAATAATACAAAAATACTCTTATCTAAGCTTACCCTGAGCAAAAAAGGGAACCTAAATCAAATAACGGATTATGTAAAATCTTATAAGTGAGAGTAAAAAAAAAATCTTTTTTTTTAATTCAGAGACTGAAAAAACGTAGGCATTCATGGTAGGTTATACGTTGACAAGGTACCGTTTGCTCTGTTTATAAATAGAAAATTTTTCATGAAAGTTAATACAGATGTTGGGAGTCGTCACTGTTTGGTGTACGAAGATAGATACGGTCAGAACTGAATTAAAATTTGGGAAGGCTGAAAAAAAACACAGAATTGCCAAACGGAACGGTAAATTTTAGCAAAGCTTGCCACAATCCTTACAAAAAATTATTTGCATTAGTTTTCAGATGAAGCTGTTACAGAAGATGTATTGAAAATTTTGAAGAATCACGAGCTTTATTTTGCATCAAACGTCGATAAGTTCGTAGAAGATCTTGTTTTCTACTTGTTATTTGCTAAACTAAGTAGAGATATAGTTTCATGTAAGAAATCAATGAAGACTGCTGATTAGAAAGGTAGTCAGATACCACTTTCGTTTTTAAATTTTTTTAAACTATGAATTATAACATGACAAGCAAGGATTCACTGTCAAGCAAACGGTCGAAGCACGTCAAAAATTATTTCTTGTGTTTCATTAGAAAAGGTAAAAGAGTACGAAAACAACTGGTAAAAACAATGTGTATCTATAAAACCATAAATTTTTAGAAACTTCTTAACAATACCACGACAAATTGAAAAACAAAAAGCAAAAAGAAAGAATAATAAAAATTATTTACTTAACGGAATTTTTTCAACTTTCTTTAAGGATTACAATACAACACGGTAAAACAGCATTTATTTAAATAAAGTAAATGTTTTTTTTTAGTATTTAAAATAACACAATCCTCTACTGTAGCTACAGATAAGGAAGGGTAGACATTTATGTTCAAAGGTAGTCATTTACACTATTCCACAAATTTTAGTTTACAACTTTTTATACTTTTCTGTACCTTAAAAACAAAGTGGCAAAAAAATTTAATGCAAGGAGTGAGCGTTTTATGAAATAAGTACGAAAAACTAGTAATAACTATTACAAATAATATGTTTTTATCAATAAAACAAGTAATGTACGATGTTGAATGAAAAGCTATTCTATACCTCTTTGTATAGAATAGTAAACTGTATTTTTATAGAAAATTTTTAGAAGATAGATATTTTTATTTGAGTTTCTAGGAAATATAATTAAAATGATATCGGTATTAAGTTTGCTTCAGGATCAAGTCCTATACCTAGTAAGGGAATCTTTTTCCGATACACTACCTGACAACTACGGATCTAGACTTAGCATATTATTCCTAATGGTAGAATCTACAAAAAAAAAAATCTTGAGAAACTGCAGATTTTAATTTTTCAACTTTTCTTTATTTCAGCCAAAGTTTGACTTATTATATCCGACTAAAACTGTATTTAAGCTACATAAGATGAACATATTTTCAAAGCCAAAAATTAAATTGTCGAAATTTGTTCGTAAAGATATGTAACTTATACATGGTAGTCGTATACGTTGATTATTCTTGGCGGCCTAATAACTCCACAACATAAAAAAAATAAAAAAGTTATTTATACCATCGTTCAATAAATTGTGACGAAACCTTATGTTAAAAATGTACCTGTAATCTATTAATATAAAATTTATTATAAAAAAAAAGTTTTAGGGTGATATGTGTACACTGGTCATAGGTACGGATAAATTACACTTGATATCAAATGTATATCAAATGGTAAAGTAACAACAACAAAAATTTAGATAGTATAGAATATGAGAGTTTCTAATTAGGGACGCATACAAGTACACAAAATTATAATGTTAAAG